GTATGCGGTATTGGTCCTCGTTAAACTGTGCTACCGTAAAGTGCTCGAATTCGCTTGCAGGTCGTAAGGCTACCGAAGCGGGGGTGCCATCCCCTCCGCAGAGGATCAAAATTGTGATGGCATGTCTTCGGATCATCCTCCGGGATGTTTCCCAGACCGTCGCCAATAGCCCATGGTGCAGCTCTAGTGCGACGTAAATTGACAACAACAACAACAGAGCATCAAAAGAGTCTGTTTTTATTTCTGCCCTAGGGCGAGTATTTCTCAAAATGTCCCAATAAACTTAACATTTTTTCAGGACAATCCAAAATTGCAATAAATATAAAAGTTCTTATTAAAGATTTTGAGTCCAGTCCCAGAGGGTGAGGGTACTTACTTTTTCTTTAAAAACCATGTTTAATTCAGTTTTTAGCTCTGTATAGTTTTCTAACTCAAAAGTTTTTAGCCTATTTGAAAAACGAGATAGAAACTAACGTACTTCCTTCCTGTATGATTATACACGCGATAATCATGATAGCGTGGAAAGTATTGACATAGGAAGAGAGTTTAGCTCTACGCCACGTGTAGCCCATTTCCATCTCCCAAAATAAATGGTGAAATAAAAATATTGAATTTTCGGAATTCTTTTAAATTATCTGTATAAAAGTAAAATACTGTTTTAAATTTTTTAAGGAACATAAAAAGTTGTTGTTGTTGCTAATTTACGTCGCGCTAGAGCTGCACAATGGGCTATTGGCGACGGTCTGGGAAACATCCCGGAGGATGATCCGAAGACATGCCATCACAATTTTGTTCCTCTGCGGAGGGGATGGCACCCCCTCTTCGGTAGCCGATGACCTGCGCGTGAAGTCGAGCACTTTATGATAGCACAGTTTAAAGAGGTCCAATACCACACACCCTCGGTCTCTACGCAGACTGATCCAAGTGGTCACCCACCCGTACACTGACCGTAGCCAGTGTTGCTTGACTTCGGTGATCTGCTGGGAACCGTGTTAGGAACATAAAAAGAAAAATGCATTTCAAAATCTAATAATCAATATTTTTTTTTAATAATATAGATAAAATAAATTATAAACTAAAACTGATGAAGAAAGCTGAACATTTCCATTTTGAGTATCAAATAATTATAATATAATGAAAATTAAGTTTATATTCAAAATATTGCAAATTGCAAGAACACAAATTTTAAATTCATATCAATAGTTTTTTTATTTTTATTATTATTCTTTTAAACCAATTTAATCCAAGAAACGCAATTTTTCCGAAAGGACAACCATCAGCGCCACGTAATATTTTTCAAATGTTCCGATTTGAAATATTAATAGAAGTTAAAGTTATTGTCAAAATATTAAGTCTTTTAAATAGTACCTACCTCGGTCAGAGTTACTTCATAACCATAACGTTCCACCATAACCCAAATCTGTTATGTCGGCAAAGGTGTAAAGCGAAAACTGTACAGCATTCAACGTGAGTATTAAGCATATTTATATACTAATTATTCATAATTCCTTTACAATAACTAGGTATAGTTCTTTTTTAGTTATTATTTTATCCGAATATATACTTCATATAATTAAATTGGTTCCCAAAATCTTGATTAAAAGTGATTGTTGTTTTCATGTTTATATGGTATCTCCAGGAATAAGTTAAATTTGTGTTGTTCTTATTAACCTAAAACAGTAAATATTGTTATTTCTTTGACAACTTTAATGCATATATCAAATTTATTAAAATATACCGTTTGTTTTTCTTATTTTGTCTATTTTTTATGATAATTATTTCTTGCTATTTAGATGTATGCCATTGGAGCTAAGATTTTGAAACCCCATAATGAAAAGCCCGATGAATTGGAAAATACAATATCTCAAGTATGTTTTGTTGTTATTAATTTATAAGCTTCCCCAGTGATGAGTATCCTTACCTACATTGAAGTTATTATGAAATAAAATTATATCTCTGATGGGGAAGCCTCTTTTGATTAATTTTTAATAAACTATGTTACCAATTTAAAAGATGTTGAAAAACAGAAATTGTGAGATTTAGTCTTGTTCTCTAATTCTTCAACTTAACTTGTTGCGAGTTGTAATAATTGAAATAATTAAGTTAATTTCCCATTTATATTATGTATGAATGTTTATGTAAAGCTTAACTTTTATTAATATATCCTAAAATATTGTATGATTTATTGGTTAGATTTGTCAGTTTGTAATAAATGGTACTAACTCATCTTGGATTTGTTTACTCTATTAGTATTCTAGTGCATTCATAATCGGTGTTACAATATTTCTCTTGCTACTGAATTAGTTTATTAGTAAAAATAATTCGTAATTTATGGAAATTAATCCTAGATTATGTCATGAGCGAAAGTTACTTAATCGAATTGATTGATATTAATACAATCTTGTTCTTAGGAGAGGATCCAGTTCTGTGTTAAAAATTTCTTACTGATTAAATATTTTCATAAAATTTGTAATCTACAGTTCTACATAAAGCTACGAATAAATTAAATTGGTTGTAATTCATAATTGCTTTATTAGTCTTTAACATGCTTTATACTCTGCTCCATAGGCTCTTCTAGAGCTTGAATTAAACAGCGATTTGAAAGCTCAGCTGCGAGAATTGTACATAGTTGGTGCTAAAGAAGTTGATGTGGATGGAAAAAAGGTATGTTAGATTTTTATTCTGTATTTATTTTAATTGCTCTTTGCTCTAAATTTTTCTTTTAAGTTTTCTAACATAAATTTTTTTTTAGATGTCTGATATAAAAGTGCATATGAGATGTAAATTGATAAGATGTTAGTAAAAATACATATTCCTATCACTGTTAGTTCCGATATACTTTATACTCTTTTGGGCAGAGTTTCAAAAGCTGCAAATCTATTTAGCAGTGTTATCACTACAGCTCGAGAATCTCGCCTATTTTTTTCTTCCTTGATCTTTTATTATTTTGAACATCGGTCCTTGTTATCTAGCTTCCCTATTTATCAGTATTGTTCAGAACCATTGCAAACAGCAGAGCACCCCCGAACCACGGAACACATTTCTCTGCAACCACGTGTTCACCGTAGGTAAAATTTCTTCGTGTAAGACGTTTAAATTTTCTTTGCATGAACGTAACGGACAAATTAAAGTGAAACAAATGTCGGTAGAAACGGTCAAAACAAATATGGATATGGATATTTTTCAGCCAAATAAATATAATAGTCGATGAAAAAGTAGATATAGAACATTTTCCATATGGTGATGCAGCAAAAATATTCAATCAGAAGATGTGAAAATGTATTATAATTAAAGAAATAATTATCCAAGTCTATACATGTTTTTTTTTTTTTAATTTTTAAAATCTCACTTAGCTTTTTGAAATCTCACCCTGTTTTTGAGAAAGGGTGAGAAATTCTCTCCCATTTTTTTTTCTGTAGTGAATATATTGATTTAGTGTCTGAAAGTAATAGTAGTATATAGCCATGTAGTAATGGCATATATACTCTATTTAGTGTGTGAATGTGCCCTTGTTACATATGCAGATTGTTACAATTCTCATTGAAAATTTACCGTGGTGATGTAGATTTTTTTGCTGATCCATTTGCTTGAATGCAGTTTAAGTTAGTCCAAATTTGTTGACTTTATGAGTCTCACTTGATTCCATTGGCAGTTATATGTATATTTTAAATTTTCTAAGAGATCAAAATTATGTTTTTTCAAACTTTGTGTATCAAATTTGTGCATGATAGCTCTCTATAGGATTAAATCTTTAATCAGCCGAGTTAAGCATGATTTATATCTATCTGATGTATATATATTCAGACTATAAACTTACTTACATAAAGCAAACTAATGTATTTCCCTCTATGTAATCTTTGATGACAAAATATGATTTCTTGTATCTGGTTTGGACGGTAGCAGTTGTTACCAGGGTTTGTTGATTTAAATCATGATTAAAATCAAATGATTTTTTTTATAAAAATCATTGATTTAAATCAACTGATTTTTATATATATATATTATATTGATTTTAAAAGTTAAAAACAGTGCTTTAAATTATTGATTTTTTTTATTAATTTCTTTTCTTTATTTTAAATAAATTGCTGCATTAATTAATTTTAGTAAGCGAAATTACTTTCTTTCTTGGTGTATGTTAAGCACATTTAAAATTACATGTTTCAAAATTTTTTGATTCTTAACATTGAAAGTACAGATTAAAGTAAATATTTAATGCTGTCTTAATATAGACTAAAGCTTTCTTCATGTAAGACTTTTTTTCAAAAAGAAAAAAAGCAAATGTTAATTAAAATTCTACCTTTTGATTAAAAAAGCATGGAATTCAAATCTACATTATAGTTTATTGATGGCAATTTCTATATTTCTAAAGCTTGAGGTTAGATTAAAAAGAAATTACCTTAATATGCCAAAAATGAAAAGAAAAAAAAAGCAAAGTTCAGATATTTTTTTCCTGATATAGTGTCATTCTTCCCTTTCAAAGTAAACGAAGTTACTAGTTTAGTTATTTTGCCATTTTATAAATCATGAGAAAAAAAAGAGATCACAATTTTAAATTCAAATTATGGTGTGCTAATTGAAACTTTGTTACTAGTTAAAGTAGTATTCTTTAAATTGTCTATTTTATCTTGTTTTTTAATTTCAATCGTGCCTTTGTATCAAAATGGTCGCTATGCATTATAATGAAAAATTATTTTAGTAAGTTAGATATAGTTAATTTAATTTTGTTATAATATAGTTTTAATATTAATTTAATTTTGATTAAGCATTTATAAAGTTTTTTTAATCATAAATTAAGGCTCTTTTAGTGTATTTGAATAAAAATCAAAAAAATCTGATTTAAATCAAAATGATCCGATTTTTTTTTTTTTTTTTTTTTTTTTTTTTTTTTTTTTTTTTTTTTTTTNAATCCTTTTTTTTTTTTAAATCAAAAAAATCACGAACCCTGGTTGTTACACATTAACAGATTCATTTAGGGGGGAATTTAGTGTTACCAAAAGAAATACACCTCTTAATTGAAGGTTTGTCTTTCTTGAATAATCAAGTGAAAAAAATAATTTTTTACCCTATTGTCATGCCTCCATGTTGTGTTGGCGCTGTCATCAAGGTAGATGTTGTAAAAAGACAGAGGAGGGAACGCTCTGATGGAGAGCGGAAGCGGATTGTTTAGGTGGATTGGTTATATTAATT